GAGGGCTGCATGTGCTGTGGCTGCCTTAAAACTACAAATATGCTGCTTTGTCCACCCATGTGCAATGTTGCCTGCCTGGCCAGCTCTGCTTGTGGGGATGGGTAAGGGCTGAGTCCTACTTATGCCCACCCCAATGGAAAAGATGCCTTGCTGTGGCTCCTTCCTCTTTTAAATCATCAAAATGAGCAGGCACTCAGCAGCTCTGCCTTGGTCAGACTTGGCTGAGATCAGCCAAAGGCTCAGACAAACAGGCATGTTGAGGACAGACAGAGGGAACAGTCACATCAGTCTTCTTCAGAAACTGAGCTGATGATAGCAGCTCTTCTCAATTCTGCCTTAGAACAGTTAGTTCTTAGAGTTGTGCAAAAGGCGTCTTGAACTGCCTTCTTAGGCCTTGATTTATAATTAATCTTTAATCAATTAACATTTAGTGCATTAATGTGTTCAGCCGAATTGTTTAAGCATACACCTTGGTATGCCTCAATAGCCAGGACGCTGGTCAGATGCTAGCAAGAGCTCTGGGTGTGCTTACAGAATCAGGCTTTTACAAATAAGAATCCCAAAGAGAGGGACATACCTCTCTTTGTGCTTCTGGAATGGATTTTGTTCTGTACCCACAGATGAATCACAGCAGTCTTTGATGCTAAGAGTTATGTTTGACAGGGAATTGGTAGTGAGAGTTATGTTCGACAGGGAAAGATGTAGCTGCAATGTTTCGTGAATACTGTGAGTATAGCCATGGGGTTTGCAGTCCAGAGACATTTGTCTTCTCAGTTTCTTGTAAACAACTGTTTTATGCAGACATCAGGGTCAGGAAGACAATTCTGTAGCAGCCCAGGATCTGTTGAGATCAGAAAATTTCTCTCTTAGCCTTGAGTGCAAAAAAATTACCTAAAAATACATTAGATTCTGCCTATTCTGAAAACTGAGTATCACCAAGTAAGTCAGATCTGGCACACAGAGTGTGTATTTGTTTTCTATCAAAGCTCATAAGAAAACGCCCTGAGGTATAAAAGAGATAAAGCAAGAAAAACAGAAAGTTGGAATTTTCCCTATGAATCTTCTTTTTTTGTAGGACCACAAGCCATTCAACTTCATATGTGTATAATCCTCTTGGTTCCCTTTCTTCTATTGCTTTTTAAATGCAACAAAGGAAAGATCTCTTTGTTAATAGCTCCCACATTCTCCTGGTTCTTTCTTTCAGTGACCCACTGATATTTACAGGCAACAAGTAAGATCTCTATTCCATAAGGCTTTGATTTACTGCCACCATAGAAAAATGAAACAGGCAGTGACTTGTAGTGTGTAGAGCGTAAATGCAAATCAGACTTTGTTAAATGACTGCTGGCTTCAGCCACCCATCAAAGTTTGATGGCTTATGTATTTCAGTTTGCCTTTTTCAGCAGTAAGGAAAGAAAGCACTGAGCAGAGGCTGTTGTTCCAAACAAGCCCATGCTTTGCCAGCTCGCTGCAGACAAAAACCTGAAGCCTGTCCACAGGAGTGGCTCAGTTTGATGAGCTGCTGTCACAGTGTTACTGCTGTACCTATACCAGAAAGAACAGGTCTGGCAAAAGGCTGAGCAGGAATTGTCATAGCAACTGAGACTACAGCAGGACAAGGACCCATAAGATGCTGCAGCCCAGAAAATTCCTCTACGTCTTACACAGATGAGGACAGCAGCAAAATGGATGCAGGAACTTCGGTATGTCTTTGCAGGGTACCAGCTTTCACTTCTGTTTGTCCAAGCTGTCACTCAATATGCTCTACAGCAATGATGAGACCTAATAAAGTCTCATATGAGAGAGTCAAAAGTTCCCCATAGAGTGTCCATCCATTAATACCTTTGAAATCTCTGTTTTTCTTTCTATCCACACATCAGTCAGATCTCTCTTTCAGTACCTCATAATTCTCTGTGACCACGTCTGTTGCTAGCTTTTACAGTAAAGCTCCTTTCAGCTTTCTTCTTTCCTGGTAGGTTACAATGTTCTTTCTGAAAGTGTTTGCCATATTTAACTAATTTAACTGTTACTGTTCTGCTTCCTCTGGCCATACGATTAAGAAGCAAGGCTTTGCAGATAAGAATACCCTCTGATGTGTAATTATCCTATGCAGCTTTGGGATCAAGACTTCCCTCAGAGCAGATACATGGCTTCCATTTGTACTGATGGAAGCAGCTACATAAATGAAGTATGCTCTACTATGAAGCAGTGGTTTTCTTACTCCTTTCATCCACATCAATCTGTATTCATCCCACCAGTTCACAGGAAAGGCATTAGCTGCTAACTGCTCCTCACTTCCTTGGATGCCAAGCCTCCATAAGACTGTACATAAACTGAGCTTTGTGTAGCCTCAAGAGCTTGTTTTTTCTGTCAGTGTGTGTGTGTGTGTGTGTGTGTGTGTGTGTGCATAACTCCCACTAACTTCTGAAGGTGTTAGACAGTATATATATGTATGTTTACATTACGGAGAACAGACTTCAAAGCTTCGACTTCGGTAGCGTATCCTTTCAATTAGTGGCAGATGTTTTTCAGCATACCTGGCTGAGAAGTGGTCAGCAAGACCTAGCAGACAATTTCCAAAAGCCTGATCCAAAAGGACTTTCACAGAGCGGGGATGTTGATCGTAGGATTTTCATTGCACTACAAGGCAAACAACCGGCAACGTAAATACATCGTATTTCCAAATAAACATGGATTTACCTCTGCCTGCGTCTGAAGGGAGTAGATGATGGGAAAAGCTGCAGCTGGGACTCACAAGAATCTTGCAGAGGGTCCCTGGGGCAAAAGCAGGAAAGCCTGAGCTTTTGCAGCGAGTAGATTGGAAAAAAGCTTTACTGTCAAAACTACTGCCCATGGAAAACCCTGGACGTGAACTGGTGTCAATGGAAATGTTGTTTCTAACATCTCGTGCTGATGCTGTCTTAAAAGCAGACTTCAGCAAAGTAGCATGGGTGCTCTCTGAAGATGTTTCTCCTTCTGCATGTTTAGGAGCATACTCTTGGAGATCAGTTTTTCAGCTTCCAAGCAAAAGTCTTTCCAAGGAACATAATCGTTGCTTAGCCAACTAAGTAAATAGGTTTTGGTACCAAAGCCAACTGTTTCAACAGGAAAGATCCATGCTAGAACACAGACCTGGCCCTAAGTTTCCCTATCCCGTGTAATTATGAGAACTCCTGAGCTATTACTTATTAGTCTTTTCACTTCTGGTTGTTCTGTATCTGGACAAAAGCAGGGTTTGAATCTTCAGTTACTTTGGCAAGTGGAGCAGTTGGTTTTTCTTCCACAGTCAGTAAGGGCTCTAGAACCACTGGGAAAAATCAGATTTGAGAAAGAATACAGAAGTGTTTATTTGTACTAACATGCACACTTTATCCATTGGGTTTTTTAGTAAAATCATGTTCTTGCGTTATAGGTTTTCTTGTTTTGGTTTTTCTGTAACCAAGAGATGTCTATTCCAAAAGAGACTGGAAAAAATCTGGAGGAAAGGGGGACATGACAAACATGTCTTGAAAAGCACCTCTAGGAGAAAGATCTTTAAGTGAAGAGAAACCCCAATGCTTACAAGTTCTTTAAATCTTGACCCACCTTTTTAATAGCCAAGATTGTTCAAACCTGAAAAGAGTTAAAATCCAGCTTACACTGCGCTCAGCAGTTTTCTGTCTGCCTCCTCTCTGCACTTCTTTCACGCAACACAAAACTCAGATCAGTTGTTATTGTTTATAGCAATTTTGGCTTCCTGGCTTTTAGTGCTATCAGCAGAAATATTATCAAACACCTCATTAGATTTTATACCCTGAAATATTTAGCTCTTCATCTTCTCACAGAGAGCAGAGCTGTGTTACCCCTGGGTGTTGTTGAAGAGCACACGTCACCATTTATTTTAGGGTGCCTCTAACCTAAAATTGGGGGAATTTGAGCATCAGGGAAGAAACCTTTGATTTTGTGAAAGACTAGAAGGAATAGGCTGGTGACCACCTGGACTTTCCTTTCTGTGAAGGCAGACTGGGCCATTACTGAGCCTCTGCCTGCTTGCATTAAAGTGCCAGTCTTAAACAATTCCATAAACAACTCCATAAGCAATTCTGCAGTTAAGAAAAATGACTTGTGTCCAAACTTTTGCTTTCCAGCCCCAGCACACCCAAGCCTATTTTAGCCTTTGTAGAAGCAGGCAGAGAAGACAGCTGTACCTTAACATCCTGAGCTAACTTGCTGGAAACAAAGGCCCTCTAGGTGCATTGCAGTTACACATCAATAACATCACAGTTATCACATCACAGCTATAGCCTAATATATACCTACACAATTACAGCTGAAAACAGTTATGAAGGGGGATGAGGGCATGAATCAGATGAGATGTATGAGTTCTGTGGACATGTGTAAGTTTGTCCTTGGTGTAACTCTTTTAGCACCGCTGTTAGCACTGCATTTAAAGACTTTTGCAAGGTCTCTGCAATCTCATTTCTTTTTACCTTCCAGACAAGCCCTGCGGGGACCCACCATCCTTCCCCCACACCATCCTGCATGGCCACACTGGCTTTGAAATGGGGGACGAGCTGCTGTATGTTTGTGCCCAGGGGTACATCATGGGCAACAAGGAGACGGCATTCACGCTGCTCTGCAATAGCTGCGGGGAGTGGTACGGGCAGGTTCAGGCCTGTGTCAAAGGTAAGCTCACCCAGCACATGGAGCATCCCTCCAGGAGGCCACAGCCTCCCATCCGCCCAACAGAGATGGTTTCAGGCGTACAAGGGTGCCTCTCCCGGGCGCATGAAGCCCCAGTGAAGTTCTTGGTGACTGCAGCATCAATGTCTTAGCTGGCTCAACAGGGCTTTTCCAGCCCTGCTGGCAGACATCTCTAGTAAACCACAGGAGAGAATAATGTACTCATACTCAGTGTGCATAAAGTTCTTTTTTCTGGGTAGCAGGAGCCACTGAAAGTAAAAAAAATCAGAATTTTTATGCCATATTTATTTTATCTGCATCTGCTAAACCCATTTCAGGGATTCACTGAGTCTTATCCCAGTGTTAGCATTCAGCTCCTGCCTTCCAGTCAACCATCTTCCTTCTTTCCCCCCCCAAGTGCCCTTTTTCTTTAGTACTGAACATAACTTTTAATTACTAGAAAATATCCTTTGGGAAGATCCTTCACCTGTGTATTTAACATCAGAATCAGCCCCTTTCTGGAGATCAGTTGTTTATAACCTTGTGTGTGCTCATTCTACTACTGGGTGAGGTTTATAACTTTTCTATGTACTTACTTAGTTTACTCAAGGTAAGGGATTCCTACTGATGGTACAAGAAATGCCAGAGGTATTTTCTTCAGAGCAGTTCAAAAGCTGCTCCCTGGCAGCACCAGAGAGCCAAAGACATTGCTTACCAGATAGAGTGCACAATGCAGGTTTTGTCTATCTTCTGCTATGTTTATTTTCACATGAAGCCACAGAGTTGTTACAGAGCAGGCTGCTGAAATGAAAATGTGCTGTTTGCTCTCACCTTTGGGAACCTAGGGCAAGAAGAGAGAAAAGTCAGTGTCTTTTTGTAGGCATGCACATAATAAACATCTTTCCTTACCATAGACATTCTGTCCATGATTTTAGCACCCAGTCACCACCCGTACATCTTTAGGTGATGGTACACGCTGAGGCCCCTGAGATAGCATCCTCCTTACAGAAAAGACAAGACGCCACGGTAGTACTGTGGCCCCATGAAGACAGGGGTCAATACTTCTCAAGGGCACAGCAGACCCATATGCAACTCCCCCCGATTCTTTATATTTTCTAGGTTGAGTTGAGCTGGCCATCCTTTAGGTGTTGTTGAATTTTTTTATTTGGGATGCAAAATGGGTAACACAACAGCTGCCCATCTTTTAAGCCCCAGACTTTTTCCGCTGGCTTGTAAGAAGCTAGTTTGGCTGATCTGAGCTTTTACTAGCCCTTTCCTCCTAGCTGCTTTAGTATTTTTGAGCTTCTGGCCATACACATATGGTAAATACCACTTCCTTTTGGCAGGTCAGGAAAATTAGAGATCTGTGTAAGTTAAGAGAGCTGCCTGTGCTACAGAAGTCTGTGACAGTGGCAGAAACACTTGGGTTAGAGCTAAGCAGCTAGATGGAAAAGTTAAAGAAAAACCAAGTATTCTTCTTTAATTTGCCCCAATAAAAAGGCAAATTTGTATCTTGTACCATGCTTGCAGGAGTTTTGTCCAGATATTTACTCCATTAAAAGGAATGACAGTGGATTTTCTTACCGAATAACTTGACTGAAGGAATCAGGCTTTGACTAAAAACACCCCAAACAAACAAGAACATAATGTAAAAGCTATGGGAAGCTATAATAGTGACATTTCCTTGATTTAAACCTTCAGGAAAATCCACTTTTATGTTACTTCAATTGTGCAATGATCTGAACTTTCCCTTTGTTTAAACATAAGATAAACAGTACCATGAGTTCAGACATGGCCGCAGTCTGAATTCTGCTTTCTCATTCACTTTCTCATGTTACCCTGCTCTATGCATAAAGCTCACAGTCTTTCCAATATTCAAGAACAGTCATCAGAGTATGTTATGGTGGGGTTTTTTCCAGAGAGATATCACACCTTTAAGATGATATTTCTGGCAAAGCAGTTTAATCTTCAGCAAAGGAATGGGCAGCTGTCGGGTAGCTGAGCTATCTATATGGGCTCAAGTTAGCATATCTATTTCAGAACCTATGTATTCCTTAATGCCCAGGGACTTACAAGGAGCTATTTTTACTCATGAATATATACCAGCAGGCAGCGCATAATCATGAGAAAAGGTCAAACTTGTTCTTAGTAGAAACAGGTCATGTCTGTGTACCAGGGAACCAGATATTCAAACCCATCAAAATGGTATAGAGATACGAAATAAAGACAAATTCCAACATCTTTCTGAACTATTTCATCTTCCAGAACTGTTCTTACAAACAGCAGTTCAGATGATTAAGTGAAATACTGCAGGGAGTGAAGGAGGAGCATGGAGGGAGAGAAGGAAAAGAGTATCTACATCTGATAAGCCAGTGGGTCTGAATCTCCTATAATCTGCACCAAACTGGTACTTCTTTTTCCTTCACTGAGGTTAGTGAAAATGCTGACTTTATCACACATAGAAATAAAACTGTACGACACCAAAATAAGGAAGGGAAAGAATCAGGCTATTTAAGTTGTGTGTGTTTCACTGTTTTCCCTGGGTAAATAGTCTATTTCCCCGTTTTGCCTGAGCCTTTCACACAGCCGCAGGGGAGAGGATAATATTTTTAGAAGAAATAGGGAAATGTGGCTGTAAAATCACAAACATCAACACTGGAACTTGGGAGCAGCTGTAATATTGTGGATTATGAATTTTCTTTCTGGATTATTTAAATGTAGACTTCATGCTGAGGGGCTTCCTTTGGTTAATGTTTCTCAAACGCTTTCAAGGTTAAGATGTGGGATAGAAACCACAATATGTGTTCAATTAATAATTAGCTATTCGAGCCTCCTGATCACTATTGTTTAGGAAAGAAGGTTTTACAGAAGACTGACATGTGTGATACTAGGTTTCATTACTTTTAAAAAAGCAAGAATTCAGTGAAAAAGAACAAAAAAGGGAGTTTAATTAAAAGAAACCTGACTTAATGGTTAACAGTTATTTTAGGGTCACAGGAGAAAGCAGAATAATTACTACTTAAGTACTCCAGAAGTCAGCACACATGCTGCTTTTTAAGTGCTTTGAGGCAAGAGTAACTTCCCTATTATGATGGGTAATGACACAACAATTTATATCCCTGTTGGCAGGGAGGGCCATTTCTGTCCTAACTGGCTGACATCAGAAGGAAAATGATGGCGAAGCCTCTTCAATGAACATTTAAGTCCTATGTTTAGAGGCTGGTGAGGTGATACAGATCCCTCCTTCTGCATCTGAGCCAGGTGAGCAACTGGAAATGTGAAGTGGTCCCGATGCTCTTATGCCAACACAATTGGACCAGGGGAGAAAACCCCTGCCACAGGATTAAAGAAGAAGTCCTGTTCCTACATCTTGCACTGAGATGGGGCAAGTCACTATACTGCTCTCTGCTGCTTACTCCACCTCATCCATGAAAGAGAGATAAAGCTTCATAAAGCTGCCTGAGATTTGTGGATGTTACAGATGTGTATTACAGTATTACTTGGTAACTGCCACATTATAATGCCCAGCTGTCCAAGCAGCATATCAGACTAAACAGCAATAACTGGGCTTTTCTCTTATTTGTGTAATACCATTAGGCCTGTACTACATTCCCAGTTGCTTGCCCAGAACAAATACAGTGTCAAAGAGCTATCATCATAGCAGTGTCTAAATATAGCACTTACATGTTCTTTGAAGTAGCTTTATGATCATATTTCCTCTCTGTTTTGATCCAGTTAGAAGAGATACAGTCCATTCTGGCACTCAGGATGTAAGTGTACAACCATACAGCTGGTAAATCTTTAAATTAAATGAAAACATATATCATGCATCAATAAACATAGAATCCAAAATACGTGGCAAAATCTGGCTGTGGGCATAACTGAACAAAATCATTTCAGGATTATATTAAGTGGATTCTGGATAAAGTATGTAAGAAATTAAGAAAACAGTACATTACAGATGGCTTTACTGTGCATTGCACACACCAGGCAATGGATGGTAATTTTTAATCAAGATGCTTTTTAAGGAAAAAAGTAGTTCTGTACAGTTAGTCTTTCCTGCAGTTTCTGGTCATGAAAAGATGCTGTGTTCTAGTTGAAAACACAGGGATATTCAACCCAACAAAGCAACCTTAAGCAGAGAACAGGGAAATAGACGGGTTTTGCAGTTTATTTTCTGTGGAAAGAACACATCTGTTTCACAAAATACATTCTGAAGATGGGCACTGTAGTAAGGTCTGAAAGCAGATGTAGACATGCCATGCTGTGGCTGGCCTGCAGGCACAGAGACCAAAGTGACCACTGCTAAATGTGTTTTGTTTTTGTCTTTCCCCAAATGAACCATAGGTTCAGTATCAGAAGCATTAATACGAACATTTCAGTAGGGAGGGCAGGGCTGTATTGCATTAGGCTGCATCCTTGAGAGTTTGCTTCTTCAAAGAGAAGGTGGATTAGGTGGCTGGGAAATCATGTCATTGCTCTAAAACTGCCTAAGAGGAATGTCTCATATTTCTCCTTCTCCCTTGGCTGCTTTGGGTTTTCCCAGCTATAAGCTTGTGGCAGGAGAGGTCATACCTGCTGCGCACGTAAAGAATTTCTCCAGTGTCAACACTCGGATGATTGTCTAGTGTGTTCAGAGCTGGTCTGACTTCCACACTGAGCACCAGACTTCTGATTTCAGTGTGAGGAGGATTCGGCTGACTTTGACCACCTCCGAAAGCTTCATCTGCAGCTCCCAGTCTTTTCGCCTGGTTCAACTCTTCTCACTACTTCAAACATTGCTTTCTGAATCCTGAGGAATAGTGCTGATTCACATTCATGTGCTCTGCTCTGTAAGCATGATCAGCCAGCACCACTTAGTTCTTTTCCTTCTATTTTTTTAATGGGCAGAGTAAAGCAAAATGTCTCTGGCTTCCGATCTTATTTGGGGCTGCTTTGTTTTGCTTTTGTCTGGGAGTGCAAAGGAAAAGTTGTGACAGACAAGATCAGAACAAAATATGTCCATGACTGGTCAAAACAATTGTTATGACAAACTTTGGTTCTCTTTTCAGGTCTGTCACTGAGTGGTTGTATTAGATTAATGGAAGGTATCGATCAGGCATGAACTGATTCTGCCAAATGGAATTACTTTTAAAAATGATGATGGGTTATTTATTTACATTAGCAGGCTTTCTGCTACAATGAAAAGTCATCCTTCTTGCAGCTGTTGCAAAAGACTAAAGGCAAAACAATTTCTGTCTAGCATACTCTGGCGGGTTTGAGAGAAGTGTGATCCAAGTCAAATGGATAATTCTTCAAGATGCTCTAGTTTACAACTCTGATCTTAGGCAAATTGGTCTACATGCTCTTTTCCTTCCTACCCTTTCAGACACATGTCCTCTTGTTAATGTTCACTGTAAGTACTTTGAGATTCTTAGAATAAAGCTGGGTTTATACAGTAGAAATGTTTATGATGATGGTCTACATAGAATCAAGTTTCAATTTCCTGTACTCCAAAAATACATCCTCAAAATATGCAGTGCACTTTATGGCTGTCCAAAATAGCAACACTCAAAATACAGCTGGGATGCCAATATGCTATCTAGAAGAAAAATTAAACTGATCCTAGAGTGTGGAAAACCAGGCTCTTTCTTTGGTTTTGCCTGTGTCTACGTTTGGTCACTGTTTTCACATTAGGATCAAAAGTTGAAGGAGATGAAAGCTCTTTAAGGTCTGGATGCTTCCCAGAAAAGACAAGGCTAAATGGAAAGGATTTCACCTTTTAACTGAGTTTCACATCTTCGGTAGCATGCCATTTCAGCTTGTGCTGCTGTAAAATGTTCATTTCAGCCTCAGTAATCCCTCAGACAGTGAATCAAAACTCCCTGATCCTCGAGTCTGCCAGAGGAGGGTAGGGGTAAGATGTAACGATGACCAAATATAGGAAGATTTTGGTCTTGGACTAATTCATTTCAGTGCTGGCTCTTCTTAAAAACAGACCTGCCTGGATAGGGAAGAAGATGCAACCACTTTTAAACCACTTGCTAGCAGCTTTAAAAACCGTATAAACATACAGATTACAACTATGTGGATAAGAGGTGGAGCTGAATCTAGTTTGGTTGTGGCTCTTCAGTACCGACACTAAAATTCAGGGAGCTGAAAAGCTCAGGTAAGTGCTGAGGAGGTGAGCAAAAAGAAGTGCAAAAGTTGTGCAATCTGTTCTGGAAAATCAAGCTCATGGCTAACTTCAGATATTGTCATGGTAACACAAAAATCACTAAATACTAAGTCCAGGCCCCATTTGAAGGTCTGAGGCCCAGAAGAAAGAATAGAGTATTATTACTGTGTAAGTCAATTCAGGATCATATAAATCAAAGCTTCAGACTCAGGGGGTCTGCATTTCCTTTGATGGTTAGAAAGCTCAATAGTTGCTTTCATTCTGCCATCCCATACACAAACATTAGTTATGCTCATAGTCTTTGCTATAAACTATACAAATACAGGAGACTGCATATGGAAATACATTATACCAGGGTTTACAACTTAGGCCACAATCTGATTGTCAGAAGGAACAAGACTCCCTTATGCAGTGACAAGCAGTGCATAATGAGCTCCAATCTCAGGCTCTCTTTAGACTACAATGGGCTTTTTCTTTTCTCAGCTGAACAGTAAGAAAGCACCAATTCATTCCTATACGTGCAGGATCAGGCCCAAAGACAGCAGGTTTGATGGAGACTTGACTGATGGTTCAGCAAACACTTAATATGTTCTGATAGACTGAGGACTTGTATTTTCCTAGAAGCACATTCTCTTTCCTGATGTGCCTCCATAGGACTTTCATCTGAAGGGCTGAAAGCCATGGCAGGAGAAGCACTAAAGGGAAAGAGCTTCAAATTCTATAAAACCCATATTACTACAGTTATTAAGCATTCACTAATGATCCATACTGGTAAATAAGATGAATACTAGCTGCCCCATTCACACTGCTAACTAAAGAATACGTCAGGAGGAAACAACCCAAGCATATGAATGAAATTTTTGTTCACGGACGTGTGTGCATGCACTAGAAAGCCATAACATAAAAATCATCATTTCGTTCTCAGCTGGATTGCTGTAGTAGTCTGAAAAGTAAATGAATAGCGAAACTAGAGGTACAGGTGAGGACAGACATGGCTGAAGATTCATCTCAGAAAAGGAAAAAATGACCATTGCAGTTGGTAAACAGTGAGTTCTCCTATTACGACGTTCCAATGCACATATATATCCTATAGGCTGTCCTAGGAGACACTGGACTTCAATGAAGCAGGCATGCCAGATACCAACTTTTAGCATAAGAGGACAAAACGGCTTGAAGCACCATTTCCATGCAAAGAGCATGCCAGGTAGAAAAATTCTTTAGTGAAAATAAGACAAGGGACAAAGTGAGACTAGCATTTGACAGCTATTGTAAGTGCTACATAGTGATGGTCAGTGCCACACAGAGCTTCATAAATATGTTGCTAAAATGTTTTGGTATTCAGAGGGACCCTCCAGTCATTAATGAAAGCCTGAAATAATGTTGGAAAAGATTTTAGGATGAATTAGAAAAGTGAGAGTCCTACCAGGAAGGTTTCCCTTCTAAGAGATGGATTCCCCTGTCTGTTAAGTTGGTTTTGCACCAGATGAATTTTTTTCCTGCTTTGGAAAGGATGGAGAGGATCTAGAGGATTACACAAGCAGATAAGGACAACAGAACCAGGCAGGAGAGAAGTCTGCTGTTGGCACTGTTGTATCTTGCACAGGTTTCACCCTACACCCATGCTGTGAGATGAGAGGACCTACTGAGAACATCCCGTTCTCCAACATGATAGCTTTCACAGAGGTATTAACTCACACATTTTGGTTTCCTCAGCATAACTGCTTTGGTTTCTGGTAGACCTGGATGCTATTCCAAGAAAAATACCTTTTGCTAATACTCATTCTGTTCTGGCACCTGGCTTAAGCTGTTCTGGCAAAAAGCAAGCTGGTGTGAGCTGTATCACTACTGAGTGGTTTTGGTCAGACTGGTTTGACAATGTTTCTAATCTTTCTTAAGAGCAGACCAAATGTGGCTCTGCCAGAAGTCTGGGAAGCAGTCTCCAAGGAGAATGTGACTCACTCGGAAATTGAGGTGGGCCCCAGATGAAAATGTGATTCAAAGTTGGTGGAGTGTAAAAAGGCAAAAAAAGATAAGGCTTTATGAATGCACTGATTTGTAATACAGCTTTGCCTATTAATTCCTTGTTTCCCGTGTCATGCCAGGTCTATTGCTTCACCGTCTTCATGAAAGGTTAAACACTCTCTTGAAAAGAAAAATTCTCACCATGATTCATTTGTTTTATTTTCCACATCCTAAGGCACTATTTTCTAGGGCCTGTAATGCCAGCATAAATCTCAGCAATTACATCAACCTTCTATGGAGTAAAACTTGTGTGAGCTGAAAATCAACCACCCTGTCTGGTTTGGAAAATTATTCATTGAGCTAAGGTCTTTTAGAAGAGTGAAAGAAATATAAATTACAATGCATTATTTCATTCAAATTCAAACCTTCAGTTTCACACTCCGAGTTAAATCTATTTTGCTATGAGTGGTTAAGTCTGTTGAGGCATAGGGAGTATTTCTAAATCAAACTCAGACTTTAAGATTAATCTGCCTCTCTGTTGCATTCAGGTTTTTGGGGGGTTTGGCTAGTTTGGTTTTGTTTTTTTTTTTCTCATCTTTCTTTTTTGGTAACATGAAGTTTCTTAAAATTGGAAGCTGAGAGTTGATTGCAGATGGTGTTATCTTGATCCCTAGGTGTTAGGCTTTAAGTGCTGGAGTTTTCTGTCCTTGCAGTCATGGGTGCATCTTCCTTCCTTCAGATAAAGATAAGCAAAACTCAGTATCAGCTTTGGTGGTGGGGTCTTCCTTGGGCAGCTCTGAAGAGCTCACAAGGAATGAAAATTACTGCCTAGAAGTCACTCCTCATTGCACCTTTCTTCATGGCTTCTTGTAACAAATGAGCCCAGTGCTCTTCTGGAGAAATTAAGCGTTGTCTTTTGTGTTGGGTTTTTTTAATGTTTCTAGATGAAACCGAGGCGCACATTGACTATGAAGATAACTTTCCTGATGACAGATCAATACCCGTCGTTGAGAACGAACACGTCAATGGCAAAGAGGAAATGGAGCAGGAGCAAGAACAGCTTTCCTTCAGTGAAAGCTTAGAAGAAAGAATTGGAAGTACCAAAGTTGTTACTCAGGACACAGACACTTCTGAAAAAGGAAGCAGGGCACCAACTGAATCCCCCGTGTCACTCCTAAGCCAAAAAAACTTGTTTTGGTTTCCATCAGAGGCTTTCAGTGAGCCTGAATCAGAGAAAGAGACAGATGATTCCACTAAAGCACAGCTTTCTGAAGGTGATAACCACATTGGAGTGAAGGCACCCTATGATGAACCTGGTGCCAAAATGTTTTACGACAGTGAGGATTTCCCCATTGGACCCATTCTCACAACTAATGATACAAAGGCAGAGATAGATGCAGTTGCCATCACTGATGAATCATGGTTAGATGGCTATCCAGTAACGCAAGAAGTGGTAGAGGATGATGAAGAGGAAGGGGATAAAGTTGATGGTTCAATGGGAACTGAAGATGACGTTGTCCTTACAACTGACCAACCAAATCATGCTGAAGTAAGAAAATCAGGCAATGGCAGCCCAGCTCCAGAGGAAGGTTTAACACAGATTGTGGCAGCAACAACAAAAGCAGATGATGAAGGGACCAAAGAGACACCAGTGCTACTTACATCAGTGAGTGGTCTGGAGAACTTAAGCACGAGCAGAGGTTATGATGATACTGCATGGGACCACCCAACTACATCTCTGGAAACTGTGACTCAGGAGCCTAGTACAACGATGCTGTTTGACATAACCAGCTTAAAAACCTCCATGTCAGAAACCTCTGTGATGGTCAGCCCCTCTGATCACACTCCACATGCAGAACCAAAAGAAGCAACCACCCACCCTGCACAAATAGCAACCACTGCACCAGCTCCAGGTATCATTACTGACACGTCATCCCAGGAATTAGCTGAGCAAGAAAATCTCACCCAGGGCCTTGGAGAAAAGCCCATTCCCACTTCTGATCCATGTGAGGAAGAGGATTGTCCCAGGTCCAGTAAAGGTGCTATCATAGCAGTAATTGTGATTCTTCTCTGTTTGTTACTGGTTGCAGCTGCACTGGCTGTGTGGTTCTTCAAAAAACGGCAGCAGAAAAATTCTGTCTATAAACTGAATGGAAGGTGTCAACCCAGGCATCACTGCTACCACCACTACCACCACCAGCACATCGAAATGCAGAAAGTCTAACCAGGGGCCTTTGGGCAGAGATGCTAGAAATTGGAAGGAAAACATACTGATGCTAGAAGGATCACATGACTCATGGATGCTAAAATCCAGCAGTGCAGAAAGCAGAAGGAAAACAAGAATGCTAAAAGAACATAGAAGACAGGAAAGATTTCATCCTTTTAAAGTCACAGTTTAACACATTCGACCTTTCAAGAGCTAAAGAATCTGTATGTTTTTATCACAGGAGTCTTCTGGAGGTATCAACAGGACACCATGTGCTTGGTAGTACATCTACAGTTTGTTCTGCTTTTACATTTTGCTCCTATTAATAATAAATTAATTGATTAATTTCTGTGTTACCTGGTTATAATGTAATGGCAGGGCTGGTCAGGCCTTCTCGGTCTAGTCTCAGTGGAAGAAGGAAAGAACGAGGGAAGGAGGGGAGAAAGATGTTTTTGGAGCAACCACACATTTGGTGGTGTTCCTTTTTTAGAACCTGCCCAAGCTGGTCAGGATAAACCACCATAACAAATTATTACCTGACGTGTCTTAAAATGAAAAGCCATTTGCTACTGTACTTTAATGGATAGTACTGCAATGATTACTAAGGTACTTTTCTTCAATGTTGTGAACTTAACAAGCCACAAGTGTTGGATCATCATGCTAGTTTTCTGGAAGGTGTTATTTTAGCCTTAGTGAAGAAGTACCATTCTTATACTAATCTTTTTATAGGAATCATGATGTCTCCCTGGAACTCGGAGAATACAGTAAGTGCCATTCTTCCTTGAGTATCAGCAGGAGTCAGAGCACCTTTGATTCCAGGTGTTATAATGAATAGCCTCTTATTACACAGCCAAACAGTGATGAAGCACTTTCCAGGGACACCCTATATAAAGCCAGCTGCTTTTCTGAACACAATACTGACTGATCAGGACACTGAACTCACAGCTGGGTGTACCTCTGGCAACTGAAGCCATGTAGAATACTTCTGCCATGTGAACTCTGTGGAAGGACTGATTTTCTCCATTCTGCTCTTACATCAGCTGGAGGGGTGCCTGGGGTGGACACTGGCTGTGGGAGATGGGTATCCATTTTGAATGCTGCTTGTTGTGGTTTTAAAGATAAAGTAAACCTGGGAAAGACAGAAATTGCATCCAGTTAATAAATGCGAACACTTGACTTTTAGACTGGGTGTTGGTGTAAAAACACAAGAGGCTTTTCCAACAGCATGTTCCATTTCCAAGAGTCCTGAAAATAAACAGTGAGAGAGAAGAGGATGTTTTCTAGAATCCCTTAACATAGTTCTGGTGAGTTTAGTATGAAATGCTCTCCCTTACCTTTCTGAATGAACAGGAGAAAAACTGGCAACTGAATAACCTGCAGGTCAGAAATAAATTCATCTGCCACTCTATTGCACAGCCTTAGGCAAAATATGCCAGTAGTTCAACACACCGAAATACTGGAGTAAAAAAAGGTGACTGGGGGCAGTTGACCTGTGCTGCCTTGAGTCAGAGTGGTAACCATCTTAAACTCCATGGAAGGTAGACTATGAAGTGGAGTGCAGAATTGGGCCTGTCGTACACACAGCCATCAATCTCAGTGCTGCTAAGGAAAACAGCATTTTTAGATGATGGCCATATGGAGAATTTGACCTCAGCGTGGTAAGAGTGGCAAGAGCCACAGTAAATAAAGGACAAAAGCTGTACAAATCTGTAAATATTGTGTTCTCTGCCATATGCATGACTTTATGCTTTTAATGCATTCTAGACTACAAAATAACCTAGGATTTCTGTTGTAAACTATTTTTTTATGCAGTAACATTTAAATAAATCCAAAAAACCAATGGATTTCACACTATGCAACTTTATAGAGATTAACTCAACTAAAACATACCATCTGCAATCTTATGGGAACATGCTGAAAAATAAACCTGGGGACAGCCATTATGAATTGGAAGATACAAGTATGTGTTACAGCTCTGCGTAGCATCATTCAAAATGAGTCAATACTCTTTGGCTCAAGAACTGAACATGTGAAAACGAGGCTCAAAATAGAATTAAACCCACAAATTATACAGGGACCTTATTTGAGGCTTAGAAATAATCATTATTCACGAACCAGCAGAAAATGTACATTAATATAATGCTCTGGAGGTATTTAAATAAAGATCAAGGTACAAAAGAGGAAAAGTAAGCATTTGTGTATGTTCTTGTGAAAATCATCCACTTTGCCTACATGTTTATGAAGGAAAGACAGGTTTGTCATTTGGGTAAGTCTTGTAGGAGACAGTTTAAGACATAGCTGAAAAGTGTTTCTCTTAGGCTGCCAGGATGGTTCTGCTTCAGAATACTATCTACCCCCTTTTGCAGCAGCATCTGTTTGTACTCATGGTTTTCACATTAACAGAAAGATTCAGGAAGCTTGGGGAAACTAATAAACAGATGGGGGTAAAGAGCCCACAAATGATACATTTGACTTAGATCTCCTTTGGTGTGTGAAACTTGGCTAATCAAGGACAGTAGGGATGGTGAACCATACAGTACAGTAAAATCTGAAGATGATAAAGTCAAAATACAGTAGGGGATGAGTCACTTATTACAGGAATTAAGAGCTGAAAGTGCCAGCTATGGGTTGAAATTAGGAAAAGGAAAGGGGAAAATACTGGGAGCGATTTTGTGATGGTGACATCCGTTCATTAAGACATCGATCTGCTGCTCTGGGATACAGAAGTCATGTATCATCCTCTTCCAGGAAAGCCACATATTACAAGAGGCTGGCTAGAATGAGCTCACTGGTGTTAAGACTGACATACGATCTCTCTCTCTTCCTTTCCTGTATTAGCAACTACCTGTTAAATAAGACCCCATTTCATACAGATCACACACTGTTTGTTGTGTCTGAGCAGAGCCTTGCATAGATTTGTTGTCGGGCAGGCTGAGAATCCCCTGTGAGTTGTAACACCAAAGCTACTTGCAGTGTTTGGGGGTTCAAGCCCTTGCAGCCAATAGGTGTTTGCTCCCCTTTGTACAGAAACTGTGGGATCATGGATTTTAGGTATTCAGTAAATTCTTGGGCTGAAATACCCTCAGTTTCTGTGCTTGTCCTTGCATTTGCCAGCTAGATGACAATATAGGGTTTATTGTGCTGCGTTGCCTTATTGCATACTTTACCTCAAAAGCTGTTATGTTGGGGATTCGTTGCCATGGGCATTGAAGCCAGCATAGACTAATTTTTTTTCTTCAGTGGAAAGAATTTACTTTTTTTCATACCCAACAATTTGCAATACAATGATACAACATAATACATCGCTGTGAAAGATCAGAAAAAGGACCACTGGAAAAATCAATTGCAACAAAAAATGAATTGAGTTATAAGGCTACAGGGTTTACCACTACAGGGTTACCACTAGCTCAGGATAATGCTTAAATGTTTAATCCCTTAGAATAAATAAGATAGTAAGATTTCAGACAGTAAGAAGGGGGCAAAGGCAGAAACCCCCAGTTGTTTTCTTCAAAGCTAGTAGTCACACAGAGTTACACCTCCGACCCCCATATTTCTACTTGAAAGCAAGCAAGTTCCATTCCTTTGTAAAAGAATTCATCAGGAGAAAAGTTACTTCATGCTGCTTAAAAGCCCTGTGATGCACACCAAAGGGAAGAAAAAGGTTAAAAACAATCAAAGAAAACTCAACTTAGAAAGTTCATCTACAGATAAGGCTCACATTTATAAACTTAAAACTTCAAAACTCCCTACAGAAGGTAGTTTCCACAGCTCATGGGTACTCTAAGGAGAGGGAAGAGGAGAGGGAGGAGGGACGGGTATCTAAACCACGGACTATTTCCTTGCCAAAAATAAATAAATAAAAAGGTATCTATTTAATATTTTTCCTAGGCACTGGAAAGGACTCAGGACACAAACCCCTGATCTGCTGGGGTGTGCAAGCCAACTTGCTATGGCTCTTTCTTACTTACCTTCTTTATTTCATATAGCTTAAACTCTCCACACTAGGTCATTCAGGTCTTGAGTCACCAGAAAAAAGAAGTCGCTGTTTAAAGCGTGGCAGACAACCAAAAGTTCAGACAGCTGCAATGAAGGATTAGTTGTGGCTTTTTCTCACTGCCTTGCTACAAACTGCATCACAGCTCTATGTTCAAACATTATTAAATGGGAATGTTTTCTCTGGCACTGACTACCTCTCCCCACAGTTTAAGTATTGAATTTTTTTAACTGAAGTAGCTTTGGTTTACAGCTCACATTAGAACTTAAAAACATATTTCCATAGTAGCAGGCATATGCAGGCAACTGTTTATTCTCAGTACCAGCCATAATAAACACTTGTACTTCTATAATCCAACAAATCTTTGCCTAATCACAACTCCATTTCCAGAGCTGTACAATTTGCATGCTATTTAAACCATTTTTCGTGAAGACTCTAGAAACAAAGACTATTTGGGTCTGCCTTCATTATCAATATAGACCAATAATTGACTGCAGAGATACACAGTGGGTATTACTGGCAACAGTCTATTGAGACAAAGCATCGTAAAGCAGGACATGCAATAGGATTTTCAGGGGACTAAGTTGTCTTGAGGAGACCCACCTTTAATTCTACCTTGACTTACTGTGGCAAGTAGGAAGAAGTGGCACCCCTTGGTTGGATGGGCTTTCCAGGTGAATTGAGAACAGCACCCAAGTATGTTTTGAGCTTATATCCTAGCATTCCAAAGGAGTAAGGCTCTGGAAAATGGAGCAGTTTGAATTTGCTTTTTGCTCACGTCATGTCAACAGAAGTAGTGAAGGTCTGCTTGCAGATTTGCTACAATGAAAGGGCCCAGCAAGACATTCAAATTCCCACTGAATTTGCCAGAACTGGTAATTCTAAAGGTATTTGGGTTTTGTAGCTGACTTCACTGGCTATTAGGATTGACAAGACACTGAAGTATGAAGCCTGTACTGGTGTTTTATGGGAATAGAATTAAAACTCTGGGGAGAAAAACCACCCACCACCCTTCTTCCTTTTTTAATATTTGTGTTTATGAGGATGAATTAGGCAAGAAGCTGGTAATACATGAAAAGTTACTATCAGTAAGAGCAGGTATTACTTTGAGAAAGATTATATGCTTGGCAGAGTCTGTCAGATACACTGATTTCCCAGCTGTGAATCTCTTCCCTTGACCAAGCTTGGGTTCTTGCATAAAAAAAACATTGTCCTGACAAGCACCAGTCATGTTTTTCACATAACCAAATACCCAGCTCAATGCACCAGCATTTCTGACTCAGTTTGATCTTCAGCTTTCCAGCAGTTCCCCATCACGCAGGACCCCATCCATCAAGAGGCCAAGCACTGGACTTGTATTGTGTGCAGCCTCTTGCGCTAGCCATCTGCCAGAGGATGAAAAGCCAACATCAGCTACCCAAAGAGCTAGCTTTGTTACTGGAAATGTGAGCAATTACTAAGAAAATTAACTGTATGGCACTGTAACAAACAATACTACTACCAAGATCAATATGGTCAGCCCAGCATCAGCAGACACATGCCACCTATGCTGCATTCAACTAAGTCACACAAACACAGTGACTTCAACAGATGATGTCTCCCTGAGCATCAGCATCATACCATAAGCCTTATAAAAAAAAAAAAGAAATGGAGGCAAAACCTAAACATCTCCTCAGGTTTTGCAGATGCTGCTAACATCTGCAGCAGGCAACTCACAACTGAGAGAATTTGGGGTGGCAAAAGAGAGGCAAGAACTACGCTCCCGTAGCCTCCCAAGAAGAGCTGGCAGGATCAGAGAAGTGGAAGACACTGATTTATTGCAGTCACATGTAAATGTTGGCTTCTAACAACAGCAGCAGCAAAAGAAAAATCAGTTGAAAGAACCTGAGAATGCTGAAAAAAGCCACAATAAATACTGAGGAACTGGGAGAGGAGCTATTTCTCATTAGGAAAGAAGAAGGGTTTGAGAACAACTTGTACTTATGAAGATTGAACTGGCTTTGGACCATATGTAGTGGAAATTAAAAAAGCCAGAAAAAATCCACAGACACTTGAATGAAATGAAAAAGGGATCACGGTGCCATTTCAGGAGGCCACGAGAGTATAGGCTGCCTTCTCAGTTTAAGTGGAATGGTAAAGGCCATCAGGCTTACCTAACGTAGGCTGAAGAAAAATAAATCACTGGCTAATGGACACCCGAGTCAATCATGAAATCCCCACCTGAACAGGCACAATGGCAGGGGATTTTAGCTGTAAGGTCAAGAGCTGAGGAAACGGCTGAACACGAAAACAGATCAGCTAAGGAAGCCTTAAAGACAGAACCACAAGCTTACCAGAAATTTGATAATACCCAAGAGACCTGCAATGGCTGAATAACTGTTTGATGAAGAGAAAAAATTAGGGTTCATAGGCACTAAATGTATCCCCAGTGTAACTCACTGAAGTTAAATTAATCACAGAAGAGGTTGATTGTGGTGCTCAGTATTTTACTGGTGGAATGAAAATGTTGCACTATTTTACCACATACTTTGTTCTTTAAAAATATCACAGCAGTCTCCAATAATCAGTGCTGGAGAGGGAAAGGGGGTTCTTTAACAGGAAAGAAGTAATTCTGGGTGGCAAACCTAAGAGATCCTGGAACTGATTTTCTGTTATCTCATACCTACTATAGTCTATGCCATTTGCTTCACCAACAGGCAAAATCTGATCATAAGCTTTTTGCACACATTATTTCCATCCATGATGCATAGATATGGAAAACCTTACGCCCAGGAGCTTGCATTACAGGCACCTCTCTTAGGAGCCTTTAAGGTTTTGCATTGCAGTACCTACAGACAACACACAAGAGCTGAGACACCACAGAAACAAACAGACAATGGTCAGTGCTTGGCAGAGCTCTTAAGTCAGCTTGGTAAATGGTGATAAGAAAAAAGTAAATGGAAAACGTTGTAAAATAAAGGCAGTGTAGACAGATACATCCACCTCCAACCAGCTCCATGCCCTTTAGTGGCAGGATTTCTAGATTCAGAAGTTAAGAGTATTAAAGATGAAGTTATTTGGGCATATGACCTTAACATTAACAGTTGGGTTTCTGAGGGGAAAATCTGGAGTTGTCCTATGCAGGTTGGAAAGCAGGATGGTAAGAGTCTTCCAGAGCAGTAGCCTCTCCCTTGAGCACAAACACACCTCCAACAGCAGAAAACTAGGGACAAACTGGAGAAGCTACCCCAGCTGGGTATTATAATACACGTATTGCATGGGGATGTGATGGTTTATGATCAACTGCTTGTTAAGTTTGAAAAGCAAAGTTAAATTCTTACATAAGATTACAATAAATGGAGTGCTAATATTATGTGGAACAAAAAGCTTCAGGAAATCCAATACTCACTCTGTATTAAGGCACAGAGCAAGCCAGATTCTGGTTTTGTTACCACAAGTGGAGCTGGGTAAATCTCCTAAAGTTAAAAGGCTCTTGGTAGATTTTCAGCCTGAGAATAAAACAGCCTGCCCATTCACATCAGCATGCTAACTGGGATTTATATTAAAGAAGCTAAAAACCAATCTGGTTTTCCAAACATCTTTCATACACAACTTCTAGCATATTAAAATGATTCATTGTTGTCATGGGCTGGAAGACACCTAAACCCGATACTGTAGATTCCCCTTATGCTCTGCAGATACTCAACAGTGTAGACACTATACCTCCACAACATACGTAAGTTACAGCAGCAACAACTCAGCAAGGTCGTGAAGATCCTGTTTTGCCTCTTTAACTGCCTAAAGCAGGTTTTGGTTTTGCAACTCACTTCCATTCTGCTGAGTTAAGATTCAGTTGGAGCACTGAAGCTCTTGTCTCCCTTTGACGTAAGCAGGATGAAGCCACTTGCAGGACTTGATCCTTAAAAAAGAAAGGGGAAAGCAAGTGATGAAATCCTGGATCCTTCTCTTATGTCAGTGGGATTTCTGCTCTTCAGTATTCTTGTGCACCAATTCACTACTCATCTCTAATACAGTATTTCTGGGGCCTTCAAAGTACTTCTGTATTAGGCTCCACCATATAAGTAATAAAAATGTCAGGAATTCAGATGCAAATGTTTAAGTATTCCACTTCAAATTGCCTCAGTCTCCACCTGTACTTACTTTTGGATGAGAACTGCGCAGACAGTCCCACCAGGCTGAAAAACAAAAAAAAGCAAACTGTTTCCTATGGAAAAGAATGCTAAATACATCGATCACCATTATTTTACACAAGATTGGACCCACCTCACACAGGAGCCACAAGTTGTTTCAACAGAGAGTAAGAATTCATAGGAAAAAGGAATTCTTTATTATTCAGTTCTAAGTGACCTCAGTTTCACATCACGGAATTTAATTTAGTTCTTAAAAAAGAGCAACACTGCATACAGAATTCTTTAAGCAATTCTTACAAGATCACTGGTTGTGCTTTGTTAACTTATTTCAGCTATTTAAATGTACCTCAATGTCTCTCAGGTGCACTGGGATTCAGTATCCCTTTACTCTTCATCATAGAAAAAGACATACATAAATAACACAATGCATAGCTCAGAAAGTCAAGAGGAACTGTTATGTCTTCCCTGGATCATAACCTGCCAGAAGTTCTTTGGAATTTAGCTGTGCTGTTACAACTCAGTAGAACATCACTGAAATAAGGCACCTTAGTGTTATCCCAGAAAATACAGTCAGTTCTGTTGTGTTTGTGTGATGGGAAGAAAGCTCAGGGGGAAAACCCATATGCACCAGTTCTGTAAATGCACAGTGAAAAGCCACGCTCACAGAAGAGTCAGGGCAGCATGGAAGTGATCTTTCAGGAGTGGATCTTGTGACATAAGACGGGGCCTAAAGGAGCAGCTTTGAGGTATATCTAGCTGGAACTACAGGTGACCAAAAACAATAGAGTAAGGAGCAATGGTGAATCTTCACTTTCATAAAATACTTCATAGTGATTTCACTCATCAGGATTCCTTCTTTTCCTCTACTTCTAGCAGCTCATCAAGGAATTCCACAACTTCACCCTAGAAAGGATAAAATTTAACAGGAACAAGTTAACCATGTGCTGCAAAATCAGTGAAAACCTTTAACTATTTTAACCAAAGCATAAACTGTAATAATGCATCTAAGTATTTTTTAACACACTTCATACAGCAGCCAGCACAACAAGCCTGTAAAATGCAGATAAATGGCCCACGGAGGTGTAGCACAAGTAACTGCAGTGACATACAGATCTTAAAAGAAGGAAATGTTACACTCACAATAAATCCTCTTGCACTTTTTCAGGTATTTAAACAGACAATGAAATTCTCAAACTCAAAGTAGAAGAAGAAATGTTTAAAGCACCTGTTAAATTAGGAAATCGTTAAAATACCATAAAAGATGAAAGGATTTTAGAAAGCTTCAAAATTCAAAGCCAAAGTGTTTTGTAGAACTGTAACTCTGACTTTGCATCTGTCTGCTCTAACCATTTATGTCCTGAAACAAAAATGTAAAGAACCAGAGACACCAGAATATCTTCCACACTGGAAACAAGTATGTTGGATATAGATTCAGACCAGAAAAATGTTGTATTTACTAGCTCCACTCTGGTAATACAGGGTAGCGACACAACAATCTGACTTTAAACTACTCCTAATGTAGTTCTATGTCCTATACCATAATCAAATGACTACAGTCAAGCCTGAGCACTTTGGGATGATACAGCCCCACCGGCTGGAATTTACTGCTCTGTCAACTGAGCTACAGTAACTGCTACAGCATGTTTTTGCCTTGAAAGGTATTCCTTAGGAAGGCAGCACCTTCCAGACATGCAGTTTGAACCCAAATTTTACAGTTTTCTTTCTATTCTGGTAAGGAAAGGGCATTAAACCCCTTGTCAGTAAAAATAATATGAGGAAATAATTGTCTATTTTTAATACAGCAAACGTATCATGGT